GGGGGCGTGGTTCCGGGGTGCAACCGCTCTCTGCCAATACTCCAGGCTTTACCCCCGTCCCAGCTCTGACAACCAGATCCCTACAATAAGCCTAAATGATTCAAGCCAGATGGTTCATTACAGCTTTAGCCAGGGTTATGCTATTTGCTGCCCTAATTATTGGATTATGTCTGTTCTAACAAAAAGAAATTAGGACGGTTGCTCTGTTGTCCAAGGCCGAGAGTGAAGTGCTGTTTATTTATTCGGCCTTTTTTTCCTGCTCTTTAAAGCCCATCCTTTATTAAGTCACCTCAAGGCATAAGCACAAAATTGACAGGTTCCAAATTGATCTAATAGAGGAGTGCTGATGGGGAGAAGATGCAGAAATGTTATAGTTAGAAGTGTCCCCCCAGTGCCCTTCCCCTCCCAGTGGTCCACAGTGCAGCCTGGCTAAGCTGGACTCCGCTGCTTGCTGCCCTCCTGATGGGTCGTATGTCCCACCCTCCGCATGTGCTGCTCCCCTGCCTGAGATGCCCTCCCACCCAATCTCCACCTGTGGAAACAGTCCATTCTTCAAAGCTGTAATGACTAGGATATTTGGGGGTTGTAGGTAACAGAAAAAAATTCAGAGTGCCTTAATCAGTGAGGAGTGTCGAGGTCATGTGGCACTGGGGTAGATTGATGCAGCCGCTCATCAGCAGCAGCAGTGGTGATGGTTCTATCTTTCCACATGGCCACACCCTTTTCCTCTTAGGCTGACCTCCCTCATGGTTCAAGGTGGCTGCTGCAGATCCAGACATCACATGTAACAGTAAGATCCTAAATTTGATAAGGATCAGTTTCCTCTCCCATGTCTCAGTTTAAAAGTGAGGAAGCCTCTCCCAGAAGTCCCCAGGAGATCTGTCCTTCTGTCTCGTTGGCCAGAATTACATCTCTTGCCCGTGCTTACACCTGCTCCTGCATGATTCACCCTGGGCTAGGTCAGGACTGATCCCCACAGAGGCCTGGAGCAAGGGTGGGGGGAAGGAATCGCTGTTAGGCCTGCCCAGAAGTCCCTCAGCTCAAATAATCTCCCTGTACCCCACTGGCTGTGATTCCCTCTCCTTGGAGCCAAGTCATATTCTACCCGGACCGTATTTCTAGGCACTTAACCTTATAAGAACAACTAGGTGTCGGGCACTAAGCTGAGTGTGGAGGTTCCAGAATGCCTGAGACACGATCTCTGCCATCAGGGAGTTCATGGAAACCATGACACACAAGTAGCCCAGCAGTGAGGACAGGGAGTCAGGAGCCTAGATGGGAAGCACCGGCTTGTGCAGAGTTCCCCGACAGAGAGGGCGCTCTGAGGCTGGGACGAGGGGGTACGCAGCCTGGCTTAGTGCAAGGAGGAACAGTCGAGTGGCTGGAGCAAGGGGAAAAGGCCTCTGATGGTGAGGCCGAAGCGGTCATATCCCAGAAGGCCTTGAATGCCACACCAAGGAGGTTGAACTGAGTCCAGGTGGCAGTGGAAAATTTTTGAACAATGTAAAGCAGGGGAATGAATAGGTTTATAAAAGTCCTAACCCTCTGCCTCTGAGCTCCCGAGAAGCAGGGCTATATGATGTGTGGCTCATTCCCCTTTGTACCCCCTGCAGTGCCTGGTCAGTGCCTCAGTTTCCCCAACTATGAAATGCTTTTGACGCAGGCTTGATCATTTTCTGTGGTTCTTGCCATGTTTTTTTTTGTTGTTGTTGTTGTTGTTTTTAAACTATTTCAGAGGCTGACATTTTTCTTAAAAAAACAAAACAAAACAAAACCAGGGCTGGTTTCCTACTCCCAAGGGTGTACGGGCTAGGAAAGTCCAGGTGCAAACCAAGGTCAAAATGATGCTGTCAGTCTCCATCAGCAGAGCAGAGGGATGTGCTGCCTTAGAGGAACTGACAGGGGCTGGAGCTTGATTTTCTCTGAATTAGCCCCATTAAAGCTCTATAATTATCAACAAGCTGGTGACAACTCTCAAAGGCCCATTAGTGACCAAGCCTCATTATTTATCCAAGGATGTTAACTTTAGCCAGAAGGTGTGATTTGAGTGGCTGGAGGACAGGACCCTGTGGCTCACACAGACAAGCACCTTCACCTGCCCTCAGGGCCCGCCTGGCCTGCACAAGCCCAGGGGGGTTTTCAACTCAGAGGCTCCTCCAGGGCGGAGGCTGAGCCCTTCCCACTCCCCAGTTGCCAAGAGCAATTCTGTTATTCTCTCTTTTGTTTCTCCGTTGCACCCTCTCAAGAGTTCAGCTAAACAAAGCAGCAGAAAAAAATGTTCCAGAAGCCACTAAGCTTTAAGGCAGGAGCTATCAGGATGGAAGTGAAGAGGCTTGGATTCTGCTTCCAGCTCTGCTGTGCCACCCTGACCAAATCACCTCCCCTCTCTGAGCCTCATTTCTCCAAATAGGAAATAAAGACTTTGGGCAATGAGCTCTCTCAGAGAGCTCCACCACCGGCAAGTCTCTAAAAATGGTGACTGAGCTTCTATTTATAGACTATTATTTCTTATAAAACTTGCATTTGGAGTTCAAAGGAATTCATCAATCCTATCCTGGGGCAGCACTGGGCTTGCTGTTCCCTCCTGGGAAGTGAATACCGGTGTTGGTTTCACTGGGCAGCTTCGGGCCTTCCTTAAACACGGATGTCTGTAGAGCAGTGGAAGGGACCCCTCTCCCCGCCTGGAGCTGAATTTCCCAGTGGGGACTCTGTCTGCTGGCTTGTCCTTCTCTGGAATTGGGAACCGGGCAGAGATCATGGACCGTTTTTTTTAATAGATGAGCATCACACCTCTGCTCCCATGAGAAGCTGGAGAATGAGTTGGTTTGGATGGACTGGCCGAGTGGATTGAACATCTGCTCTTTGCTGGTGTCAGAGGTGTGGCCGAGGCATGGTCCCTGCCCTCAGGAGGCTAATGTCTGGGGGGCACAAGCCAGACCTTCAGGTTAGGTCTGGAGGGAACAGCAGACTGATTTAATGTCGTGCAAAGCCAAGAGCTTTAGAGACTATTATTACAAAAGCCTGGGCCTGGAGAAGCTTGGGCCCATGGCTGTTAGTTGTTACAGACATGGTGATAGATCACTCCCTTACAGCACCTCACCTGCTTACCCGCACAGAGGGGAGCTAGGATACAGGCAGCAAAAGGCCAGATACACCTGGACTAAAGCACGCATGCTCTGCTCAGGGAAAAGGACTTTAGGCTCCACTCAAGGCCTACTGACTTTTTTTTTTTTGGCTGCGTTGGGTCTTCGTTGCTGCACGCAGGTTCTCTCTAGTTGCGGTGAGTGGGGGCTACTCTTTGTTGCAGTGCGCGGGCTTCTCATTTCGGTGGCCTCTCATTGCAGAGCATGGGCTCTAGGCGTGTGGGCTTCAGTGGTTGTGGTGTGTGGGCTCAGTAGTTGTGTCTCACGGGCTCTAGAGCGCAGGCTGCGTAGTTGTCACTCACGGGCTTAGCTGCTCCGCGGCATGTGGGATCTTCCCGGACCAGGGATCAAACCCGTGTCCCCTGCATTGGCAGGCGGATTGTTAACCACTGCACCACCAGGGATGTCCCATGGCCTATTGACTTAGAGTTTAGACACAATTTTAACAAGTATTCTCACCTGGTTTCATAGACGAAACAAGTAACTAGTGAATAGGAGAGAGAGCTGTTTGTGCTACCAGAGGCAAGTACTCTAACAGGAGTTTCAAGCTGACGGCAGAGGAGGCGGAAAAAATGAAGAAAACCTCAAAAAAGAGTGGCCACCTGGGATCCCTCGGTGGAGGAATCATCTCACATGCCCTTCTGCGTCTGGACTGGGACTCTGACACACAGAACAGTAACCGTAGTCATAGCAATGATTCAGTTTATTCTGAAAAGTGTAAGTGACCATTTGTGTATTCTGCTCACGAAGGCTGGGAGGGGAGTGATCCAATTCAGAATGAGTTCATTCCAGAAAGTGTCTCAGAGGGGCAAGTACAGTTATCTAGAAAAATCACCTAAATGGATATGCTCCTTCTCTAATTATCTACTGAGTACTTTCTGTACCCCAGGCATGGTGTTAAAGCACAATGCCATGAGGTGGATGCTGTTGTGTCTCCATTTTGCAGATGAGGAAACTGAGGCACACTGAGGCTAGATACACTGTCTAAGGTCACACAGCAAGGAAGTGCAGAGCCAGGATATGAACCCAGGGTCAGACGTCAGAGGGCAGGTCTCGCACCCTACAGATGCCCCCGCGAGACAATGACAGACACTGAGCTGTGTGCCCGACCCTGTGTTAGGAGCTGGGGTGCAAGACAAGTAGTGGCTGGACTCGGCCAGCAGCCTGTGGTTTGCTCTAGACCCACATTGGGCACCCCTGGCCTCCCCCCGAGCATCACTCCAACCACTCCGCCCCCCAGCCTCTGGGTTGGCCTGTGGTTGGAATGCCCCTTCCCCCAGCCCCAAGGTGCACTGGCCAAGCCCTACTCGTCTTGCATGGCTCAGGTGAAGTGTCACTTCCTCCAGGAAGCCTTTCCTGATGGCCCCAGTTCACATCCAGGCCAGGCGTCCCCCCGAACCCTCCATCAGTCCTGGCCCACTAGACTTTGTTTTGACCAATCCTTTTCATCTATTCCTCCCATTAAGCTGTGCTTTCCTCGGGGCAGGAACCCTGTCTTATATCTTCGATCCTGGAGTCTGGCATATTGTAAACACTTGGTAAAGAATGAATTAATTAATTAATTAAATGCCAGTTGACCAGCCCAGCAGCCTGCAAGGAGCATCTGGGCTTCTAAAGACATCCTGTGAATGTGTACCTCGCGGGGGAGAGGTTTGCCCCTGAGGTCTGCTCCCACCCACAATCCCAGCCTTCAGGCCGGGAACCATGTCGGTGAAAAGAGCCACAGCTGCCGTGTGTGATCACGCCCGAGGGTGGCAGCTGCATCCAATCACTGCTGCACCCTCTGCCCAGCCCTTGGGAATCACTCGCTGCCTTTTAGAGGCTGGGGGTAGTAGCACGCGGGCCCAGCTCGCTCCTCACACCCTGCCCAGGGCTCCAGAGGGACCGGGGAGACCAGGGAGCCGCAGCCCCAAGTGCTGCTGGGGGGCGGTGAGTGGGCCAGCCAGTCGGCCGGGCTGGGGCCTGCAGTGCTGCAGAGCCTGACCCCTCTGCCTTCTCGCACACTCCTGGGACAGTTAAGAGCCAGGGGCAGCTGAGGTGTAGAGCCCTGGCCGGTGGTTGCACCAGGAGGACAGGAACCCCTTTAGCTGAGCGCGCAGCACACATGGCCCCACCCTGGACCAGCCACGGGCCGCCAGGCACGGTGCAGGGGTCAGGGGCCCACTGCCCGGCTTTGACTCTCAGTTCACCGGTCGCGGTGTCTGGAGGTGACGGGCCTGACCCCCCCGCCCCCGAGCCTCCTTCCCAGGGTTGGGGGGGTCGGGATGCAGCAGGTGCTCTGCTGGTGGCAGTCAGCGCGGTCACCGTGGCACCTCGTCCGGCCGCGCAGGGGTGGCTGACGCTTCTCCACCGTGTGGGCGCGGCGTGACCTGAGCCCTCCCTGTCTGCAGCCGCCCTGGGCACGCTGGACTTCAGCCTGCTCTACGACCAGGAGAACAACGCTCTCCACTGCACCATCAGCAAGGCCAAGGTAGGCCCCACCTGTGCGCAAAGGGCGAGGAGGGAGCTTGCGCTTCAGTCATCTCAGCTGCTCCTGAGGTGTAGCTGCCTCCCCTGCAGCGAGGCTTTCAGGGGAAAGAGTAGAGCAGAGAAGCCAGAGAGAATGGGGGTGGGGGGCAGCTTTCAGGAGACAGAGGCCCCAGAGCTGGGGAGCTGTTGAAGGAGGGAAGGGCGGGCAGGGAGGTGACAGGCCTGTCCTGCAGGCCAAGAGGAAGGGTTGGACTTGGGTGCCTCCGGACTCCCCGAGGAGGCTCTGGACGCTGACGCCACGCCAGGCGGGGGATTAGTCTCTGGTCGCACCGGCCCGAGTTTGCTCTCTGGGTGGAGGCGTGGGCGTCTGTAAACCCCACGCTGGTCCTGCCCCGGGCTGGCACCCGTCAGCTCTGTTCTCAGCCACGCTGTTCCCTTCGTCCCCACACCGCGACGCTCCCCCTGGGAGGAAGGTGCCCAAGTTGATGTTCTCCCGCAAGGTAAGGGCAGCCGTGTGGCCTGGTAGACCTCCCGGTAGAGCCGTGGAAGGGCCTGGGCCCGGCTCAGAGCAAGGAGCTTCCGGCATCGCTGCCCGCGCCCAGCCCCACACCACCAGCACCCCAACCTGCGAGCTCCTCTGCCCCTCCTCCCGCCCTGCCCGTGGCTCTGCTCACCCAGAGGGGCAGGCTGCCTGGTTCGGCCCCGGCTGTGCCCCACCCGGCCTGGGCCGCCGTGGCTGGGCCGCCGGGGCAGGGGTGAGCAGTGTCCCTGTTGGGCCAGCACCATCCCCGCCCCTGCCCCCTCCGCTGGGAGCTGCTCGGGCTGTGACACAGGGCACGCCCCGCCCTCCTCGAAAGGGCTCCAGACCTGCCCTAGGCACAGAGCTGGGAATCTGATAACCCCCGGCTGTGCTGAGGTGGAGGGCAGGGTGCATGGCCCCCGGCAGACCCCTTCCCCTCTCCCTCCACCCAGCGGTGTAGAGGTTGTCCAGGCCTGGGGACTGGGAATGGGCACTGGCTGCCAGGCTGCTCTGGCCAGAGCCGTCCCTTCTCCCCACCCAGACTCCAGGACCCTCCTGTGCTGTGTGCTCCGCCTTCCCCACCCAGGCTCTAGAGGGGCTATGTGGGTGAACTGGGAGGGGGGGATGTATGTGTGTGCACACGCGTGTGTCCACTTGGGTTTGTATCACTCAAGGCGTTGGAGATGGGGGATGGGAGGACCCCAAGCCATGGTTGCTCCCACATTCTTCAGTTCATCCTCCGCTTAGAACCAATTCTGCAGGGGAGGGGGCGGTGCAGGCATGGGAGGATCTGGGGCTGGGCTGGGGTGTGGGGAGGAGCCCCAGGGGGTAGGAAGGCTGAGGCTGACAGGCAGAGCCCCTCGGGGGCCTCTGGGAGGATGCAAGATGTCCCAGTGCTAGACCCTAGATTGGCCACCCTCCCTCTAGGTAAGCAGAGCTGCCTCAGTTTGCTCATCTGTAAAATAGGGTTAATCATGCCCACCTATGTGGTGGTTGTGAGCATTAAATGAGTGAGTGCTCATTACCTAATGCTGTCCTACAGGACAGGGCCTGGCAGCAGACACCCCCACACACACCACACCACACACACACACACACACACACACACACACACACACACACACACTCTCGTATCTACAGCAGAACTGGAAAGTTCCACCTTCGTGCGAAAGGGTGAGAGGCGGGATGAGAGGCCTGTGTTGGGAAGGTCCGCCTCTCTGCCACGGTGCATGCAGGGCCTCCTGGCCAAGCCTCGTCCTGGAGCCGGCCCCACGGAGCAGGGCAGAGCTGGAGCCCAGGCAGCTCCCGGCACAGCTCAGATGCCTCCGCCCTCAGCCGCTTCTCTGGCATCTTCCAAGGGGCCCGGCATTTAGGGGAAGAGGGGAGCAAATGCCCCACCAGCAGGCCCCGCGTCAGCATTGCCTCCTCAGCTCCCCCAACAACCCTGAGATGTGGGGACTATTAACCCATTTTACAGATGATAAAGCTGAGGCTCAGGAGGCAGATGAAGTCATCCACTTACCCAGCTGATAAGTGCAGGAGCTGAGACCTGAACCCCGGCCAGCCTGGCTCTAAAACCCGCGGGCCCCTTCCCAGTAGCCGAGCAGTGCTGGTTGGAAGTTGGAAGACCCCACCTCAGATCTCAGCCCCTACCTGGGAACTCCTCTGAACCAAGGTGGGGACGGGGGAGAAGAGCCTCAGCTCCCCTGGGAGGTGGGGGAGGTGGGCTGGTCATGAGCAGCCAACTTGCAGCTCATCTTTGCCTGTCTTTTTTTTTGCGGTACGTGGGCCTCTCACTGTTGCGGCCTCTCCCGTTGCGGAGCACAGGCTCCGGACGCGCAGGCTCAGCGGCCATGGCTCACGGGCCCAGCCACTCCACGGCATGTGGGATCTTCCCGGACCGGGGCACGAACCCGTGTCCCCTGCATCGGCAGGCGGACTCTCAACCACTGCACCACCAGGGAAGCCCTGCAGCTCATCTTTGAATGAGGCTGTGGGGTTGCCAGCTCTACCCCACACATGCCCCAGCTGCCTTCCTCCATCCCCGAGTGCCATCCCAGAAGCAGAATAGACGATTAGCACAAGCAGGAGCGAGCATGAGGTTACCTAGGCCCCTGTATATGGTTCCGTGAGTTCCTTGGCTGTGCACACTTGACTGGTGGTTGAGAGTGAGTGAGGGGGGGCTTCCCTGGTGGCGCAGTGGTTGAGAGTCCGCCTGCCGATGCAGGGGATGCAGGTTCGTGCCCCGGTCTGGGAAGATCCCACATGCCATGGAGCGGCTGGGCCCGTGAGCCATGGCCGCTGAGCCTGCGTGTCCGGAGCCTGTGCTCCGCAACGGGAGAGACCACAACAGTGAGAGGCCCGCGTGCCGCAAAAAAAAAAAAAAAAATGGGGAGTGAGTGGGGGGTGCCATCTTGTGGAGGGACCCTCCACGGCCGGCCAGCTTGTGTGGCCTCTGGGGACACAGACTGGCAGGGGGCTGTGGCAAAGCCAGAGAGAACTTGAGCCTGGTCTCCAGGATACAGAATGTTTTCCCACGACCGCAGAGGGAAGCATGTGGATGAGCAGACAGAGGGTCACAAGGACCTCAGGTCTGTGAGGGAAGTCGCAGTGCATGGGGAGCAGGGAGAAGGGGGAAAGGCCTGACCACAGCAGGAGAACGAGGGCCTCATTCACAGAAAGTGAGTCACTTGGCCTCCAAGATAAGGAAAACAGAGTCTGATCTGACAAAGTCACCCCGTGTTGCCTGCCTAGGGCCAGACTCTTGGGGCGGCAGGTGGGGGGATCGCACCAGCATGGAGCCTTCCTCACCAGCCCCCATTCCTGGGGTGTGGAGCAGGATTGCTTCTGTGAAGGAGGGTCATGAATGGACCTAGCCAGGAGGCCCAGTGGGCGGGGATGCCTGCTGACCCAGGTGCCTGGAGGCTTTGGCAGCTCTGTGTCCCCAAGCCCCCAGTTACACCCCTTGCCATTCTCCTCTGCTCAGGGCCTGAAGCCGATGGACCACAATGGGCTGGCAGACCCCTATGTCAAGCTGCACCTGCTGCCAGGAGCCAGTAAGGTAAGGGGCCTGCCTGTTGTGACTGGGGCCCAGGCTGGGCTTGGGGCACCCAGGGAGGCCCACAGCTCCCACACCCACTCAGCCCAAGCAAGTTGAGGGGTTCACTCCACCTCCACGCAGAGCACCCAGTCACCCTCACACCCCCTAGGCCTCCCAGGGACCTTGAGTCAGCACCACCTACCCACTGAGTTGGGGAAACTCCCCGGGAGAATTTCTAGGCCAGCGTTTTAAAAGAAACACTCTCAGCTGGCCGTTAATACTGTGCGCAAACAAAGGGTTCTGTGGCCAGATAACAGTGGGAAACGTTGTTAAACAGGTTTCTTTACTGCAGGACTTAGCAGAGCCTTTAATGTGTTGATGGGCTGCTCTGTGATGCCCCACAAGGGGGATGGAGTAGTCAGCAACTGCCCAAATTATTTGACTACAGAACCCTTGTTCCTGTACCAGATGACCCCACAAGCAGACCAGCCCAACAGGTGCATCTATGAAAGGAGAGGAAAAAGAACATTTTTTAAAATTCTCTATGAAAAGCATCAAGGTGGCCTTTAGCACTAGAAGATCAGAACTTGATGAGACTTCCTTTCATACGTCTTACAGTTCAGTGTAGTTTTATTTGTAATGTCGTGGGAGGGAAGGTCACATCTTTTCAGAATTGGGTCCTTCCCTAGCCCACAGATATCTCAAGGGGTGAGTAGGGCAGACCCCATGCCAGGGGGGACTCGCCTGGAGTCCAGCAGCTTTGTTTCCAGGTAGAGACCAGGGCGGAGGCAGAGGGACAGGGGACACAGGACACAGAAGCATGAACAGCAGAGCCCAGTGGCTGGTGTTCTTGTCCTGGCCTCCTTCTTAGAAGCCAAAGTTGGGGAGTTCCTTCCTGGCCCTCGAGTGACCTGATAGAGAGGAAGAATCAGCAGTGGGGGCACCCCCCTGGGCAGAGGGCCTCCCCCAATACTGCTCAGAACAATTGCAGTCCAACTGGGGGGTCCCACCCCCAGGTGGCCACCCCGGGATGAGGAGCCACAGGCCGCTGGGGCCTGAGTTAACTTTGGGGCCCGGGCTCCCCCTGGTCCGGGGGTGCCATCCCAGAAGGGAAGGCAGGGCTATGGGAGAAAGGGCAGTGGACTTCCCACTACACCTGGAGGAGCAGGCTTCCCCACTCCAGGCCTCTCTGTCCTCATGCTGCAGGGGGGACCCCCAGGGCTGTGAAGGCCATGCGACCAGGGGAAGGGGCCCAACTCGGGGGCTCAGTGACCGTGCGTCTCTAGACTCCTGGGACCTCGAGTTGGCAGTACCTGGCTGCTGAATCCTAGGGACCCCCCATAGAATAGATTTCCTCGTAGGGCAGAGTTTCATAGAGCACCTTATAGAGAAGGTCCTAAAAACCAGGTGGAGAGAGATGTGGTGTTACGCCCTGGAGCCTGACCCTCAGAAAGGGTCAGTAACCCACTGGGCTCCACAGAGCTTATGTAAGTGGTGGAGCTGGGATTTGAACCCAGGGCTGTCTGACCTCAAAGCCTGGGCCGGTTTGTGGCGGACATCAAAGGGAATCGGCTACGGAAGTCAGGGTCTGAAGGGGGCAAGGCAGGTAAGGAGTCTAAGAACCACGATCTCTGGAAGCACTGAGGAAGGAGGGGAGGCAGCCCCCAGGCGTCCTCCAGGAGAGGTGCCTTCCCGGCAGGGGCCAGCCTGAGCGAAGGCAAGGAGGCTGAGGGAGAGAATCTGGGTCCAAGCCAGGCTTCCCAGCTGCCCAGACCACGCCTCCTGCAGACACCCTCCCCCCGCCACACACCTGGGCACGCAGCTGGGAGGCAGGATTCTCCTGTTGTAGTTTCCTAGGGCTGCGCTAACAAATGACCACCAACTGGGTGGGTTACGACACCACAAATCTCATACCTTCCAGTTCTGCAGGGTGCGAATCCGACATAGGTCCCACTGTGCTACAATCACGTGTCAGCAGGGCTGCGTTCCATTCTGGAGGCTCGAGGGGAGAAGCTATATCCCGTTCCTTTCCAGCTTGGCACCCCCTTTGCTTGGCTCGTCGCCCCTTCTTCCATCTTCAAAGCTGGTGTCGCCTCTCTGACTTTCTCCCCTTGTCACGCTCCTTTGGACTCTTCTCTCGCCTCCCTCTTCTACTCTTAAGGGCCCTGTGATGACGTGGGACATGGCCCACCCACATCATCCAGATAAACCCCCTGTATTGGAAGTGCAGCGTCTTAACCACTGGATCGCCAGGGAAGTCCCCGATCCGCCTATTTTAAAGTCAGCTGATTAACAACAGCGTTAATCCCCCTTTGCCAGGGTAGAGCACTTATGCACGGGATCTGGGGGATTGGGATGTGTTTGGGGCCATTACATTGCCCATCACCCTCTTTGACACTCAGAGGATCATTTTTGCTCTCTCCAGGCAAATAAGCTCAGAACGAAAACTCTCCGAAACACTCTGAACCCCACGTGGAACGAGACCCTCACTTACTACGGGATCACAGACGAAGACATGATCCGAAAGACCCTGCGGTGGGTGAGACCCCGGGCTGCCGGCTCCCCCACCCCACCCAGCCTTGTCCA